CCCCCTGGACCGAGCGAAGTACTGCGGCAGAGGTGACCCGAGAGCATTCACCATGCGCAAAGGCAAAGAGAAGCACGAGAGGATAGAGCGGTATGCAAACCGCAGAGCTGACTGGTGGAGCAGAGCCGAGAACACCCTGTCCTTGCTGGCGAGGCTGCGCAAGAAGAACAGGGACGTGAGGCAGCAGCTGCACTTAGAGGCCGCAGGCAGACACCTTGCCTACGACGGCCCCCCGAACACCAGCGACCAGGCATCGGACACGGCGAAGCTACACCGAGAGATCTGGAGAGCGAGGCTGACAGACTTAAGCAAGGTCGACACCGACGTGATCCTTGGCATGGCGCAGCAGGCGGAGCAGGAGAAGCGGCTCGCACTCAAGAGGGACCTCCAAGAGAATGCGCGGGCCTTCGGACAGTGGCTTGCGCTGGCTGAAAAAGACGTCGGCGTGCTGCACCGCATCACGAAGCCACCGCCCAGGCGCGAGGAGGAGGTTGTTACTCATGATGGGGTACTGGACTGCCCCACCAAGATAGTCGACGAGAAAGCGAAGGCGTTCCAGGACATCTGGAAGTGCGACCGACTCAAGCACGAGCAGCACACCGAAGTTCTCCAGCGACAACGGGAGCGTGCACGTGCGGAGGCGGCCCCAGAATGGACGCTCGAGGACCTGGACGAGGCCCTCAGAGGAGATCCCGACAAGGGCAAGGGCATTGACATGTTGGCGTGCTCCGACATCCGCAGGCTGCCGCCCGAAGGCCGCCAGAGGATCGCCGAGTTCTTCAACTCATGCGAGCAGGCGCTCGCATGGCCGTGGCAGCTGCTGTGCGAGATCGTGATGCTCACGCCCAAGCCAGCCAAGGGCGATAGGGCCCTCGCCCTGCTGCCGCAGATGGTGCGCTGCTGGGAGTTGCTCCACAGGCCCGCGGTGAGGCGCTGGGCCAAGCAGCAGGAGAGAGAATGGGACGCCGCCGTGGCGGGCAACAGCTGCCTGCGCGAGGCGATGAGGAGAGTCATCAGCGACGAGTGCTGCGACGCGCTCCAGCTGTTCCACGGCAACCTGCTCGCGGACATCGAAAAGTTCTACGACAGCCTTCAGCTCGACTGCGTGATCGAGGCGGGCCTGAGGATGGACTTCCGCCCCCGCCTGCTGGCGATGATGCTGCTGCAGCACTCAGCCACGAGGGTGCTGCGGTGGAAAGGTGCCTTCTCGACACCTACCTGGGCAGACAGGTCGCTGCTGGCAGGCTCGAGGCACTCCAACAACCTGGCCAAGACGGTGGTCTACTCCGTCATCGGCAGGCTGCTGGAGGCCTCTCAGGCGCTGCCCAAGCCGCTGCCGAGGGCCTGGTTCGACGACATCAGCATCCGCATCCTGGGCAGCGCAGGGGCAGTCGAGCAGGGGCTGACGGCGGTCACGGTGGGGCTGCGCGACGGTCTACGAGCGCAGGGACTCTCGCTCGCGGACAAGACCGTCATCTTCAGCACCAACTACCGCACCACCAAGAGAGTACAGCAGGCGCTGCGCAAGGTGAACCTCCCCGTCCAGGCCGTCACTGAGGGCCGCGACCCGGGGATTGACCGAGGCGCAAGAGGCACGCTGAAAAGGGACACCCACAGAAAGAGGACGAAGCACGCCCTCACGCGCTGCGGCCACGTGGGCAAGAAGCTCAGGAGGCTCAGGCTGCGGCGGAGGAGAGGCATTCTGCACCAAGGAGCGGTGGCCTCCTACATGTACGGCGCGACGGTGCACGGCATGGCACCCTGGGCGCGGCAGAAGGCGAGGAGGAGGTACGCACAGGCTCTGAGGAGGCCGTGGCCAGGCCGCTGCCTCACCACGTTCCTGGCGCTGGCGGGCGCCGACCCCGCGATCACCGCGGTGAAGGCGCAGCTGAAGACGTGGTTCGAGGTCTGGGCCCGCAGCCCCGACATCAGAGCACAGGTCAAGCTTGCCTGGCCGAAGATCTACTTCCAGCTCCGCAAGCTCAGGGCAGAGAAGAGGTGGCAGGCACGCAAGGGGCCGCTGGCCAGCCTGATCCTCCTGCTGTGGGAGGTAGGCTGGGACTCCAGAGGACCAGACGTCTGGATCGACAGGCAAGGGGGCTACTGGAGGTTCAACACCGACGAGCAGGGCGGCGACTACACAGAGATCGTGGACGCGCTCCTGCAGGATAGCCAAGACCAGCTGTGGGAGACGGCATCGCAGCACCACAACGGCGGAGGGCTACAATATGGCGCGGACGTGACCGACCTTAAGAAGCACCCCGACCAGCTCGCCAAGAAGGAGCACCACGGCACGTACGGCGCGCTCCTCACGGCAGCGTGTGCAGGCACCTGGACGAGGCGGCGCAAGCACGAGACCTTCGGCGGCGAGGAGGCCATGTGCGAGTGCGGCAGACCAGAGGATGATGCACACAGGATCTGGGGCCACTGTGCGGCCCGAGCCGACTGCGAGGCCATCCGCAAGACAGAGGGCTTGGCATGCAGGGCCATCGAGGGGGCCAAGGAGAACCCCGCCTTCTGGCTCAGCGGCATCACGCCCAAGAAGTGGACCACGCCGCCCAAGTGCGATACCCAACACGTCGAGCACACCGTGGGCGCCTGCATCACCAACAACAGGCTCTCCGCCAGCGACGGCGGCGAGATCACGGGCTGCGGCGACGGCTCAGGAGGCGAGTACAGCGCAGACGAGAGATACTGCCGCTGCGGCTGGGGCTGGGTGCTGCTGAAGGAGGGCGACGACGCCGACGGGATCGCGGGCGCCAGATTCGGCCCACTGCCAGGACCGAGGCAAACCAACAACAGGGCGGAGCTCTTCAGCCTGATCAGCTTCGTCAACGCCACGGAGGGCAAGGCCAGCTTCTGGACCGACAGCGAGGTCACCTGCCTGGGCTGGGCGGCGCGACGCGAGGAGACCACAGGGCTCGGCTGCACGAACGGCGACTTGTGGCACCAGCTGGGCGAGGCGATCCGTGCGCGAGGAGGCGACCGCAACGACATCAGCGTGCACCACCTCAACAGCCACATGACTGAGCAGGAGGCCCGCGCGAAGGGCATCACGAGGCGCATCTGGGCAGGCAACCAGGCAGCCGATCAGTACGCAGACGCAGGCGCCAAGACCCACGCGATCAGCGACACCGAGATGAGCTGCTACGAGTGGGTGAGAGCGACGGCGCACCTGGTGAGGCTCAGGATCGCTGCAACCACCAAGGACGTCATCACCAGAAGGCCGCCAGACGAGAAGGAGATGAGAGAGGCCCGCCGCGCTCAGGCTAAGAAGCGACGGCAGGACACCGTGCGCAAGAAGGACCTGCTGGGGGACAACCACTTGCGGCGGCCGCTCACCCAACACGTTCTGGCACGAGACCGTCGAGGCACAGGCTGGACGTGCCTGAGCTGCTGGCAGTCGGTCTCCAGTACGATGACGGCGCAGAACATCCACAGCTGGCTGACGCAGGAGCGCAGTGGCCCACCGCCCGAGACGGCGATCACGGTCACCAAGTTCGGCGTCGAGTCGCATCCCACGCACAAGCTGAGGCGGCTGAGGAGGCACAACAGGTGGTTCTGCGAGAAGTGCGGCGGCGCCACCACTGAGCTGATCGCCAAGAAGCTGCAGGAGCCTTGCTGTGGACACACGGCATGCGACAGCGGGCACTACAGGCTACAGGGGTGGCTGAGGCAAGCGGCGCGAGAGCAAGGCACCTGCGACAGGCCTCGCGCACAGAGCGACCCTGAGGACGAGGAGGACGAGGAGCAGCTTGCAGAGGCCAGCAGCAGCCAGAGCACGGAGGTCGACACGACAGGGGGCACAAGTGGTGTTTCCTGGCGAAACAGACGGGAAGAGCCACCCTGCCGTCTGCGGGGGAAGTGCCGAGGCAACGCTGCTGGCGCGCTGGAGGCGACGAGGAGAGCTACGCCGCCTGCGGAGCCTGGCAGCCTGCCCGCCCCACCAGCTGCAGGAGCAGGCCGAGGGCCCGCGACGCGGGACAGGGCGCGTCGGGCCGCGGCGGCCAGAGCGAGAGCGCGCAGCGAGGCAGCAGGCGCGCGACCCGACGGCGGAGACAGAGGAGAGCAGAGGCCACGGCGATCAGAAAGCGAAAGACGACGAGCTGAGGAGCCGATCGTGAGACGCCTGCTGGACGCGACCGCCGCCACACCAGCACCGACGCCGACACCGACGCCAGCACCACCAGCAGCAGCAGACCGACCTGATGAAGCTGAGGCCGCACGCCGTGCCGCCTCGCGAGCGCTGCTGGAGGAGGAGCGGTGGCGCGCGGCGCGCCCGCCGCCAGAGGCGAGAGGGGCCCGCGCGGCGAGCGCCGCCCCGCCGCTGCCGCTGGGCGCGCTGCGTCGGCTGCTGGACGAGGGCGAGCGGCCCGCGGGGCGGGTGAGGACCACGCGAGGCGGAGCTGATGGCAGACGATGTGGTCTCCCCGCCCCGCGGAGAGAGGGCTCGGCTGCGGAGCCGCCCGCAGGCCCCTCGGTTGCTCGGCACGTCCCCCTGTTGCCGAGGACCGAGGCGGCCTGAGAGGCGCCGAGAGCGGCGCCCCCGCGCGCGCGCGCCGACAGCGCCGCGCGGGTTGCCACGACGTGGCGGCTCGAAAGAGCTCGGAAAGAGCTCCTCCTCCTCTCGCCTCCTCCTCCGCCTCCTCCTCCTCCTCTCGCCTCCTCTTACTGCTCCTCTTCCTCCTTCTCCTCCTCTTCCCTCCTACCTCCGCCCTCGTCCTATCCCCCCATTCCCTCCTCTCGCCTTCTCCTCCTCCTCCTCCTCCTCCTCCTCCGCCTCCTCCTCCTCTCCTCCTCCCTCCTCTCCTCCTCCTCCTCCTCCTCCTCCTCCTCTCGCCTCCTCTTACTGCTTCTCTTCCTCCTTCTCCTCCTCTTCCCTCCATCCTCCACCCTCGTCCTATCCCCCCCATTCCCTCCTCCTCCTCCTCCTCCTCCTCCTCCTCCTCCTCCTCCTCCTCCTCCTCCTCGGTGGGAGGGGCCCGACGTCCCGGCAACAGGAGTCGGGGCGGCCGGTTGCTCCCTGCCGGCGCTGGGGGGCTCCCAGGAGGCCCGCGCGGGGGGCCCCCAGGGGGCACCACGATCGGGGGCAACGACAGGGGGGATGGGCATAGGCTTAAGTCGGGCCTGTCCTTAGTGGGCCCTGGAAACGGCAGTGCCGTTTTTCACGGGTTCCGTTCTGCTGTTTATTTGCCGGCTCCGACGCCGTTTTTGTACCGGTTCTGTCGCCGTTTTTTCACCGGTTCGGGCTCCGGTTCCAATCCTGGAGCCGTTTTTTTGCCGTTTCCGGTCGCCGTTTGTTCGCCGTGTCCATGTTCAAGGGGCATTTTTTGGAAACGGTGAAAAACGGCCTTGCCGTTTCCGGGGCCCAGAAAGGGCCTGTCCCTCTATAGGAGGAGTAGTCAAAAACAACAAGGAAATAGTTTGGGGGCGATTCATTGGCTTTCGCCGCACCGCCGACCCCTTGGGGCGGCAGCAAGAGTGAGAGACAGAACTCGCGGAACGCGCACGATCGCTGGGCAATCTTGGGGTTTCGGCCCGTCCTACGTAGCGTGTGGGGTTCAAGGGGGGGCCTGGTAGGGGATGGCTTTGAAATTCTTCGTGGTCTTACGTGAGTTTCTTGGGGCCTTCACGGGGCCTGTCCCAGGCCTCCTCTTCCACCTCCTGGATAGGCTCGGGGATTGTTGAGACCGAGCTGGGGTTGCGTCCGGCCAGAAGTTCGAGAGTGGACCCAGCTTTGTCGACGAGGAGCTCCCTGAAGGCCCACAGGGGGCGGAGAGCGCCCAAGATCCACCCCGTGTTCCTTCATTTGCGAAGGGAGGTCAGGGAGGTCGATGTTCATCCCAGACTTTCGGCGGTGGTCCCGGCACCGAAAACGGTTCTTGGAGGCTGAATTCGAGGGGATGCCTCGGGTGGTCGAACGACCGCAACAATTTGTGAGACGGCGGCGACGACGAAATCTTCTTGATAAGTTTCCTCTTCCTCTTCTTCCTCGCCCTCGCCCTTCTCCTTTGCTTCTTTTTAAGATTATTATTATTATCATTATTATTGTTTTTTATTGTTATTATTATTATTATTGTTATGTGTCTTCTTCTCGATCGAGTTAGATGCCCGCGGCAGTTCGTGTATATATATATATATAGAGAGAGAGAGAGAGAGAGAGAGAGAGAGAGAGAAAAAAAAAGAGACAGAGAGAGAAAGAGAGAGAGAGAGAGATAAAGTGGCCTTTGGCCCGTCCCGCCATCGTGCCTTGGTTGTCGGCCTGAGACCCTTGGTGCCTGGGTTGCGGGTTAGTAGTCACATGCCCCACGTGTTTCTTGGGGCCCCTTTTGGGCTTCTTGGGGGCCTCCTGGGGCCCCTTGGGGGGCCTCCTGGGGGGCCTTTTGAGGGCCTCTTGGGGCCTCTTGGGTGGCCTCTTTGGGGCCGCATGGGCCTTGTTGGGCTCCCTTGGGCCGTTTCGGGGCGGAAGGGAGGAGGAGAAAGAGGAGGAGGAGGACGTGATGGATGTGAGGTCGATTGAGGAGAGGACAATGGAGGAGGAGGAGGAGGAGGAGGAGTAGGAGGAGGATGAGAAGGAGGAGGAGGAGGCCGAGGAGGAGGAGGAGGAGGAAGCGGCAGAGGAGGAGGAGGAGGACGAGGACGCGAACGAAATGGGCCAGAAAAGATGGGAAGCGCGTCGACTGATGAGAGCGATGTGCGAGCCAAGACACCCGATGCCTTGATTTGTTCAATTGGGGGTCCCCGGAAGCCCTGACCCTTCAGGGCCGATCCGATTCGAATCGACTCCGGCTGGCCCGATGCGATTCGATTCCGATATTCCGACGATCCGATGCGGCCCGATTTTTTCGTGGCGGTGTTGTGCATCCATGCGCAGCCGATCTGATTATATTTCGATCCGATGCGCAACTCGATTCAATCCGATTTACCGGCTCTTCCAGAACGGGCTTTTCACATCCTGGGTCATTGTTCGCCCTCAGAGGCCGACAATGGCGAGAGTTCCCAAGTGCTTTGGAGGCCTGGGGATCGCCAAGCGGCAGGATCGCGGGCGAAATCCCTATCTCGCCCTCGCCGATCCACGGTTTAGGCAGCTCGATGGGACGCGGGGATAGGGTTCGGAATTCGTCGAGCATTTCTTGCGGAGTCCGAGCCCTACCCTCCCACCGGGTCCGGAGAACTGAGGGCTGGTGGGGCTAGGGTTCGACTGTCCCCGCGAAGAGGAGCAGCAGGGGCCGAGAAGGGGGTTTGTCGAGAATTGAGGGTTGGTGGGGATCGGGTTTGGATGTCCCCGCCAGAGAGGAGCCGCATGGGCCGTGAAGGGACCTCTCGGCGGCGAGCGAGGGGGGGAAGTGAGAAAGAGAAGGCCTTCTGCAGAGGGCGACGGGACTTCTCGGAAGCCCTCGCGACTTGTGGGAGGCTTTTTTTGTTGCGCCTTCGGGGAAGGCTGTCATAAACGACCTCTCTGGAGGCCGTGGGGATTGCCGAGCCTGCTGAGCAGGCCCCGCCCCTTGCCCACTTCCCCCCGCCGAGCCTTGTGGAGCGGCCGGAGGCGGCGCACCTGGACACTCGGGCCGGACGAAAGGGGGGGATTGGGAAAGGGGGGGTTACGAAATCTGCTGCAGGCAGCCGGTTTCGGCCCCGCCGCCGGGCCCATTCCTCCATGCATGGGCGCCTCCCGGCGCCGGGAGGCGCCGGGGAAATCAGCTACGTTCGGGGGAGCGTAAGACCCGGGTTTGCCAGGAATCGGGTTCGCCATCGTTTTTTGACGACCGCGCCTCGGATTTTGACGAGGAGGAGTTTCGTGGGATGTCTGCAGCGGGAGGCCTCGTCAAAATGCAGGCTCGGCCTCGTCATTTTTTTGACGACCTCGTCGGGGATTTCCGAGTCCCCTGTACCCGGGTCTTACGTCCCCCTGATACGTGAGCTGATTCTCAAGCCCCCCCTTTTCACGAGGGGAAAAACACACACAGACACAATTAATCGTCGATTTCCCAGAAAGAAGGGAAAATATGGGAAGTGGTGGGGAAGACAAGACACCCAAAAATGTAGGAACAAATATAGGGAATCTTTTCATTTGTGTGTATTTATTTGTGTCCTGGGGAGGAGGAGGAGGAGGAGGAGCAGGGAGGAGGAGGCGAGAGGACCCCCCCCCTTTCGCCCGGCCCGAGACACGGGGGCAGCCGCGGAGCGGGAGCCCTCGGGCCAGCCCGAGAGCGCGAGGGGAGCGAGCGTTGCCGCCCCCGCGAGGTCGTGTCCGCGGGCGGGCTCTGGGAGGTCGCGCTCGCGGCGGGCTCTCGGGGGGAGGAGGATCCAGGAGGAGGAGGCGAAGGAGGAGGAGGAGGAGGAGGAGGAGGAGGAGGAGGAGGAGGAGGAGGAGGAGGAGGAGCGGAGGGGGAGGAGGAGAGGAGAGGAGGAGGAGGAGGGGGCGGAGCTAGGAGCCAGATGGAGGAGGAGGAGGAGCAGGAGGAGGAGGAGGAGGAGTTGGCGGAGCTAGGAGCCAGATGGAGGAGGATGAGAAGAAGGAAAAGGCGGAGGATGAGGAGGAGGAGGAGGAGAAGGAGGAGGAGGAGGAGGAGGGCAAGCGGAGGAGGATGAGGCGCCCATACCGCTAGTTACCCTTCGCCCGTCTTCCATTTCTTTTTGGACGCCCTCCTGGGGGGGGTCCCTCGTCACCAAAGTTGGGTCCGCCTCGAAATGCGGGTCAGAGCGCACCCCAGGAGGGACCCGGCCGGGGAGTGGCGGCATCGGCAAGTTTCGTTCTCCCCACGAGCGGGGGGGTGTCCTTGCTTATCACGCCACCCCCCACCCGACCCGACGGCCCCAGGCCTCCACCCCAATGTCCGGGTTGGGTGGCATACGGGTTCCATCGTGCTCTCCCGTGCTTCCCCACTGGAAATTTGCGGGCCCAACCGCGTCTTCGGGCTGGTCGGGGTGGTGTTTGGTACAGTCGGGCCGAGGTATCCGATCGCGGCCGGTCCGGGGAGGGTACCCTGATGCTCTTCGTGCCTGTTGGCTGTTCCTGTGCATCCTGTTCTTGGTGGCCTTGGCTGTTCTGTGTGTTTTTGCCGGCGGAGGGCCTCACGTGTTCGGGTGCAACTCCTGGGAGGTCAAATTCTGATCTAGCCCTGGTCCGAAATCCGGTTGAATCCGGCTTAATCCCGCTTGATCCGGCTCAATCCTGCTTGTTCCCGCTTAGTCCGGCTTAATCCTGCTTAGTCCGAGGCCCATTCCGGCGCAACAGCTCCCAAATGGGGCTCAATCCCTTTTCCCTACCTAGGCTCTGCCTAGAAGGGTTCTTACTCTCTTTGCTTAAAGGGGCCGGGCAGTGCTACACGCCCCGGGCGGTTCCCCCAGTCCCCGCCCCGCGGTTCCCCCAGTCCCCTGGGAGCTTTAGCCTTAGCTTTAGCTTTAGTTTAGCTTTAGCTTTAGCTTTAGCTTAGCTTTACCTTAGCTTTAGCTGAGCTTTAGCTGAGCTTCAGCTTAGCTTTAGCTGAGCTTTAGCTGAGCTTTAGCTTATATTTAGCTTAGCTTCAGCTTAGTGTTAGCTTAGCTTTAGCTTAGCTTTAGCTTAGCTTTAGCTTAGCTTTAGCTTAGCTTTAGCTTAGTTTCAGCTCAGTGTTAGCTTAGCTTTAGCTTAGCTTTAGCTTAGTGTTAGCTTAGCTTTAGCTTAGCTTTAGCTTAGCTTTAGCGTGGCTTTAGCTTAGCTTTAGCTTAGCTTTAGCTTAGCTTTAGCTTAGATTTAGCTTAGCTTTAGCTTAGCCTTCGCTTAGCTTTAGCTTAGCTTCAGCTGAGCTATAGCTCAGCCTTAGCCTAGCTTTAGCTTAGCTTTAGCTTATCTTCAGCTTTGCTTTAGTTTAGATTTAGCTTAGATTTAGCTCAGCTTTAGCTTAGTGTTAGCTTAGCTTTAGCTTAGCTTTAGCTTAGCTTTAGCTTAGCTTCAGCTTAGCTTTAGCTTAGCTTTAGCTTAGTGCTAGCTTAGCCTTAGCTTAGTTTCTGCTTAGCTGTAGCTTAGCTTTAGCTTAGCTTTAGCTTAGCTTTAGCTTAGCTTTAGCTTAGCTT